ACTTCTTCTTCTTCTGGTGATCAGCGAGTGAGGTCGTCCACGAAGCCAATACGTTGCTGTGGGTAACACAGGGTTTCCATCTTGGTCAACGATGCACTTCCAGGCCTTGTGATCTGTGGCCTTGACCTTTGCTTGGATGAGGGTTAGACGTCGTTGTTTAAGATCATCTTCAGTTTGCTTGATCCAAATCTTCTTGGGCGCATCGTGCTTGATTCTCCAGTGGGCGGAGCGCTGCTGCAGCAGAAGGCGGTGTGGGATGCGATGGTTGCTCATGCGGCAGATGTGGCCAAACCATTGCAGTCATCGTTTCTGGATCAGCTCTTCCATCGAGGGCTGATGGTGACATTGACTACGTATTGCGCCGTTGCTGAGACGGTCACAGAGGGACACAGTGTATTTAACTAATTCCCTGAACTTAACTGGGTCATTCAGATTTCATTTGAGCTAATGATCAAATATGTTAGAAGCAATTTTGTACATAATTTATTATTCTATATCCAGGCCAAAGCTGTAGCTTTTATTCTTTCCTTTAGATGACAAAGTTTACTACAAGATGAAATAACTGATGGTCTCCAACAGGCTACACCAGCTCCAGACACAAGAACAAGGAAGGTTTGTCAGTTTTAGTTTCCTTATTTCTAGAATAACTAATCTCAGAGTGTTTCTGTGACAGCACCGATGTGTTTGATAGGCTACCTCTCTTTAATAAAAACTGAACTTGTTGTACTTCCTTGGCAGTATTTGTGCTCTGTTGCTTTTTTTTCTCCTCCCGAAGCGAGGTTCGAACATTGGCCCAAATAAATACCTGAAGGATGGAAATAAAGTATCCTACATTGCTACTATCGATCTGATATCAGTACCAATGGTTTTGATACTACTGATATTTGGATCGATCTGCTTCTAGTATCCATTAGAACACCTATGCCCTACAAAACGGGTAAGGCTATTTCACTCATGTAAGCATCGTTTCTCAAAGTTTTAATATTAAATGTTACTGTTTCTTACCTTACTTAAAAAAAAATTAAATAAAATAAAAGAGTGAAGTGATTCCATCCAAAAAGATGGAAATGTAATGGGAACTTTGCATTTGATCTTATTTAACCGGTTCATACAATGATGAAACGAAACTTGCAGTCAGCTGTGTTCAAGGTCATGATACACGTCTTGAGGCTTTCTTATCAAGTAAACATGGAAAGACTGCAAGTACAAAGGAGCTGTCATGAAACGCGTTCGTGCTGCGTTTATCCTTTTCCAAAGATTTCATCAATAAATCTCAGAAAGACAGTTTGGTTTCAACTCTCAGTTTATTTTTCCACAACACTGAGCAATAAGTTATTTCTGTTTGTGTCTTTAGCAGTGTTGTTGCTAGTTCACTGACTAATCCTGAGGTCACATCGCCCGCCCTTTTTGGTTTTCAGTCTGATTCAGTTAAAATGAAGCTGAACTCGATTCCTGACAAAAACACAGATATATACGACGCGTTGTGAATGTGCAGACAGATTAGAACATCCAAAAATCCAGGTGTTAATAAATTATAAAATAAAATAAAATTCATTATGATATGAAGAGAGACATTTAAAGAGGTCACCTTCCCGAACGCAGGATACAAAAGAGGACAGTGCAGACTGCAAGAGTATAAAAATGTGGAACCATATTTACAATTTACTTCATTATACTTTATGTTTTCCTTCGCATAAGTAAAGACCATCGACAACCAGGTTTTCTTTTCAATGACTAAAATGAGAGCATGATGGGGTCTAGCCAGCCTTAGCTATGCCTTTGTCCACAAAGATCACTTAAACAGCATTAATACCACACATTACATACCAGTACCACATGGTCCACCAAAAGTGAACTAACGTCTCCACAACACTAAAGGTCACAGTACAAAACACTCAGGTCATTATTCAAAATGCATCCATAATAACAACATGATGCTGATGTATGACCACTCAGAGCCTTTAAACAAGCTCACAACAGACTGACACCAGAGTTTGTACAAACTTTGGTTTTATTTTAAATGACTAAATATTCTCTGGTAAAAAATGACAGCCAGGAGAGCCCAACAGCCAACCTCAGGCATGTCTTTAGTCACACCTTGTTAGGTGCAAACAGTTACTGATTACTGCTGCTGCAGAGGGGTGTGACATTCAGAACTGGGAAAAATTGGTGAATAAAATCGCACCACAGTGAACAAATACCCTTACACTACTGGTAGCATGAGGCAAAACCTAGATCCTACAAAAGTTACA